AACTTTTAGCTATTAAGCCCAAAACAATATTTTCTCTCACAAAAACCCTTACTTAAATGCTAAAATAGCACAAAATTTTGGGGTATTACATCCACCCCTCCTAAAAAAAGGAGTTTTGTCCCCAAAACTCGAATCGAGGATCATTTTGAGTGGTGAATGGTTTCACACAATCCAAGACAAAACGAATGCTCCACCAACTCTTTATGAACAGAACATAGCCTATTACGCTTTTGTTGCGCCACTCAATCAAACCACAACTAATCATAGAAGCAGAACACTAACTACTGAACAGGATTACCATGAAACAAGCTATTAGAGGCTGGGGTGATATAGGAAGCACAAGAAATAAAAATAAATCCTGCCAAAGCCACAGAAGAACAATTGTGGAGTTACGCTATGAACCCAACACAAGACGAGTTGGCAAAGAATGGCATGGATTTAAAGATGAGTACAACAAGACTTGAACTCTATCAAAGACGGATAGCATCCAATGGATATATGGATCATGAATGAATGAACAAGTGCATGGATGCCTTATAAATTCTGCCACAACAAGGTTAACCAATAAGTAAGGTCATGTTTAACAAAACAACTGGAATCAAGAAACAGATTTTTAGCAATTAACAAGAGTTAAAAGCTAGAACCATCAAAAGACATGTAAGAATCTCAAGAATTGCAACAGAATAAAATCAATGGAAACTATGAATGCTTGGAAGAATACTGGAACATAAGAGTGCAAGGTAGAATGTCTCAAAAATTCAGCAACAAAACGACATTCACCAAGAATCAAGATCAAATTTAACCAAGCAATCAAAATTGAGAGACAAGAGTTGACCATGAAACAAGCAATAGAATTCAAGGATTAGGCCCATAAAAGAGATTTCAATAATGACAACCAGAACATGGATTCAAGAGCAAATATAACCAGGATGTCAAGATCTAGCACCCCAAGTAACACGAATTAATGAACAGAATAATCAATAATGAGGATCAGGATACTTAGAAGATTATTGTCTTCTAATTAAAAGGGCAAACAAAATCAAAACAGTTAGATAAAAGAACCATTTCTGTTGAAACAAAACTCTAGGGCATCAGGTACTTCAAAGACTACCCTTTCACCTCGTAGCTCATGGAGGCTAAGCAGATTTACAATCAAGTCATCCTAGACATCCTAGAGTCACATCAAAGCTAAGACATCAAGGATACAGAGATTAACACTTGCAAGAGACAAGAATGAGGATGCCTCATATAGGTATCTTCTAATAATCATCACCCCTCCTAAAGAGGTGTCAATATGAACAAAATCAAAAATCAAGAAGACCAACAGGTATACTAAAACAAGAACTAGCAGAATATGCTGGATTTGAGTAAGAGCAGTATACAGAATTTGAGCATGAGCAAGAGTTAAGATAAGAATGGTTTTCAAAGATAATTCCAAATAGATTCCAAAAACCAAATATCAATTGATTTTCAAGAAAATGATGCTAACATGACCTTACTCCAGGCAAGGTTCAAGATAAGATTCCAAGAACAATGCAAGAATTAATTTCAAACAAGTATCAAGATAATGAGGATTTCAATAATCATTATCCGTTTCCTTTGGATTTCAATTTCAAGAACAAGTACAAAGCAGTCTCAAGAAAGATTCAAGATGGATTTCAAGAGTTTCAAGCAGTTTCCAAGTATCAAGAATGTAGAGATTAGCAACAATAGAGAGTTTAACTTTATGGCAACTTGTCAATCTTCACCAAAACAAGGCAATTTCAATTGAATTGATCATTGTTTTTGAGTAACCAATATAGAAAAATGAGCCACATGAAAAGACCATGAAGCTCCAAATGGAAAAAGAAGTGAAACTTCACTATAAGACTTTCAGAAGATAATGAGCAACGAAATTACCAAGTTATCCAGCTCCTAAAACGCATCTAGAAAACACACAACATTTGCTAAAATAGCCTTGAATCTCTTACAAAGTAAAGGGTTGCCCATCTTCCATTGGTCAGGGGGCAAACAGAATAAATTTCTCAACCAGCTATGCTGTAGAGACCAACAGGATCAATAATAAAAGATCTCTGCAACTCCCCAGGTTTTACAATGGTGGCAAAAGAGCATACAAAAATTCTATTCAAGTAACAAGTCTAAACAAGTGCAGACTATCAGAAAATGACCAAGTTTCAAAATAAGGCCTTAAGAACATGGTGGACAAGATTAATTTCATGAATCTACACAGGGTATGAAGGCAAGAAACAAGAACAATCCGATCACCATCTCATCAAAATGGATTAGAAAATTCAGGCAACATAAATCAAAATCGTCCCTTGTATAATCCCATCACTCGTCTCACCACGGTTCTAAAATCTATTGGCTAGCCAAGTTCCAAACAAATCCTAGGTATTCAATTAAACCTAGGTATTTAATTAAACCTAAGCTCTGATGCCACTCAATCTGCTCCTTAATTTAAACTTAAGCTCTGATACCACTAAATCTATCATGCCCCAAAACCCAAATTCGAGGCGCGATAGACGCTGTGCACTCGTGAGAGGGTCCCACAAATGCACAAGGCTCAGAACTTATCATACCACAATCTGATACCACAAAATCTGAAGATAAGATCTTAAAATCTGTTTTGATATCATAAAATCTCTAAATACACTCTAGTTTACAAGATCATGATTTATATCTAAAATCTATATCAATCTCGAAATGACTAGCCTTCTAACTCGTCACTTCCCATGGTTTTCTCGTCCTCAGTTTCGCTTCCTGAAATGGTGGACAAGGAAAAACTATGAGATAAACTCGGTAAGTAAAATATGGAGTGCCCTTAATTAAACTTATAGCATGCCAACCAGTATAATCATGAAAACGGGTACGAGTACGGAAATGAAATAGACGTCTCCTCTATAGGTCACGGCCAGTGTTATAAACTTCTCACTAGCAGGCACACGATTTCCTAGTGTATAATCCCCACTAGTAAGGTCACTTGAACAAACTGGTTCTATCAATAACATGTCGACATGTGCTAGCGTTTAACCCCCACTAGTAGGGTCACTAATAACATGATCATATCGGAGACAAAACAGGCTGAAGTTAACAGAAAAATCATAATTCACTAATCACTTTCCAATCGTCAGGACAATCAATTAAATTTCAAGTAAGCATGCTCAATTTAATGAAAAGCATAAAAATTTCATTTCAATTGATCATACTTGCTTTTGTATAAAACGGGTTTAGTCCCGCCACCACTTCAAAAACAAGTCAAAACAAGCTTTTCAAAATTGTACGGGCATTACCATAAATTCACTTACCTCACTTGCATAAAACCGAAGCCTTGATCTCAATGCTAAACTAATAGAACAATCGGGAGCCTAATCAAAATATCCAAGAATTAATATCGCACTACCACAAATTCAAAGTGAAAACTTCATTAAGATCACCCCTAATCACGATGCTATTCCTATCAATCTCCACATTTGTTCTTATATCACAAACTAAACATTTAAATCTCTGTTAATTGTTAGCCATTACTTCATGAACAGTGCCCGTGAACAGTGCTGTGAACAGTAACTGCACTTCCAAAATTGGTCAAAACACTAGCTAATTTCACGAGATTTTCTCTCCAAAAATCACAGCAGTCAATTAACTAATTTTCTACATGAATTAAGCAACAAAACACACTTAAAATGCTCTTAATTGCTACCGGA